TGTGTTGATGCATTTTAACTTTGAAGGTGAGGACAGATGTTATCGTGTAATGAGATAGTTGTACTTTTAGCTTACATTGTACATTAAATTTTATACTTATAAAAATCCTTCTATCTGTAATAGTCATATATAGCATAATATATATAGGATATAGCATGATATATATATATATATATATATATATATATATATATATATATATATATATATATATATATATATATATATATATATATATATATATATATATATTACTCAAGTACTTTCTGTTTATTTTGTTCAAATTGAGTGAACGTGATCTACTATTGCTATTCCTACTTCTACTACCACTACTACTACCACTATTACTACTACTACTGCTGCTACTACTGCTGCTGCTACCATTACTACTAATGAGACAAGGAAAAGTACAAAAAATGCTGTGCTGATGCATTTTAACTTTCAAGGTGAGAAGGACAGATATTATCTTGAAGTAAGTGCATATATGCATATTGCTTCTACCACTACTACTGCTACTACTACTACTACTCCTATTAACTACTGATATTACTACTGCTGCTGCTGCATAGAAAAATAGCTTCACTCTTGTGTGATTAAAATAATGGTTTCACCACTTATTTGTGACACACCGGCCACCAACAAACCACAGGCCAAGTTACAAAGTTGTTGGTTAACCCAAGTTAACCAAAAGTTTGGTTAACTATAGGCCTACTCCTAGTGCTACTACTACTAATACTCCAACTACTCCTACTTCTCCTCCTCCTACTGCTACTTCTACTACTGCTACTGCCTACTGCTGCTACTACTACTACTTCTACTACAACCACAACTACTAATACCACTACTATTACTACGACTGCTATGACTACTGCTGTTACTGCTGGTACTGCAAAGCTTCATTCTTTTCTGATTTAAAATACTGCTTTCACCACTTAGTTGTGACAGACCAGGCACCAAAGGCCTACTACTACTACTACTACTACTACTACTACTACTACTACTACTACTACTACTACTATACTATTACTTCCAACTACTGATGTTCCTACTGCTGCTACTGCATGGGAAAACAGCACCATTCTTTCATGATTAAAAATACTGCTTTCACCACTTATTTGTGACAGACCAGCCACCAATGAATCGAAGGCCAAGTTACAAAGTTACGGTTCCAGCTATTGTTTTGGAAAAAGAGTTTCCGTGATGGGCCGAATGCCCTGGGATCTGCACAGAAAGAGCTGTTTGAGAGAAAAAGAATGACGCAGCAGAGACACCCCCCCCTCTCCGCCCTCCTCCCTCCGCCTGGTTTCTTACACTGGCTTTAGACGCTTTACAAGGTGAACAAAAGCGCTCGTCAGTTAGGACAAAACGCTGAGCTAACTTATGTGTGCCATGTCCCGGGATCACTTTCAATAAAGCACCTGCGTTTCAACAGAACTGGATTTGTAGAAACTGTTAAAACTGAAAGGTGAACTATAATGAGCCAAACAGTAAGAATGCAGTATTTTCAAGGTATTTTTAAAAACAGTAAACACCCTATTTAAAATGAACAAAAGACAGACAGATCAAATCCTTTATTGTGGAACATTCCAGGCAAAGAAATAAACTCCATGTAGACAACCAGATAACTGACCCCCTACCAGAAAAGTTACATAGTGCACATTTAAAATATCTCTGAACTAAAGAGCAAAACTAGACTCTAAACTTATGATAAATCTGAGTACTCGGTATTTAAATATGCACTATGTAATTTCTCAGGTTGAAGGTCAGCTGCTTGCTTGTCTCCATGGAGATGTTATTTCATTCCCTGGAATGTTCCACAGTTGGGCATTAAACATCTCCATTGTATTTGTTCAATTAGAGGTGTTTTATAGTTCAAACATTCTTACCACGTGCAGACTTGCTTCTCCATAGATCTGACCATTAACCTGTCTCCACTGTAATATAGTAATATCTCCATGGAGACAAGCAGGTGTTGGACCATCCACCAAAATTTACACAGTGCACCTTTAAGCTGGTACATTTATTTTGGTGAAAGGGTTCAATTAATTGGTAAAATCGTCTTTTCTGTTCTTTTGTGATAAAAAGAAGCTTTTTTTTAGTTAGGCTAATAGGTAATAGTATTAGTAGCGCTAAGACAGCACTAATTGCAGTTGTGGCATTAAAAGACAGTTAGTGCTTGTAGTAATAAACACTTCTTTACAGCAGTTGCAGTTAATATCTGTGAGTAGTAGTTAAAGGCAAGGCACAGCAAGTTTATTTATATAAGCACAATTCGTACACAAAGTAATTCGTATGTGAAAAAGATACTAAATCGTGGCCTCAAATTACTATTTCATTCCCACAATATGTAATTTGTTCCCATGTTTTAGCTATTTCATACACATCACTATAGGTAAACTCTTTGTTCTGAAAGCCCAATAGTCTGACCATACACACACATAGTACGGTGGCTGACAGGGGCCAAACGCACTGCAACGTCCCAATGCATCTAAGTTAGAGAAAACAACTTCAAGTACAGAAACAATGCAAAGAAAAAATGCACCACAAGAAACAGAGACATCGTCAGAGTCATCATCAGATGTGCCAAAATGTAGGGAGCCCGCCTGATGATGTATGTGAAAAAAGATACTAAATTGTGGCGTCAAATTACTATTTCGTTCCCACCTTTTAGTTAATTTGTTTCCATGCCCAATAGTCCAACCATACACACACGCACATACACACAGTGGAGATGCTGAATGCACTGTAACATGCTGAGGATAAATCGTTAGTACATTCGGAGTGTGGGTGGAATTCATTTAGAGCCACACCGGGGCGTGGAGCCACAAACACCAGAAGAAGAAAATCTACGCCGTGTCATTAGTGGATTAAATAATATATGATGCAGCCGCTGAGCTGATCGCCAGGACTACACCAGGACTAGAGCAGAATTAGACCAGGACTACACCAGGACTAGAGCAGGACTAGACCAGAACTACACCAGGACTACACCAGGACTGGACCAGGACTGGACCGGGACTGGACCAGGACTGGACCAGGGCTGAACCTATGCTGTGTCATTAACAGATTATATAATATACACCGCAGCAGCTGAGTTGATTGCCAGGAGGACTACACCAGGACTGAACCAGGACTAAAACAGGGCTAAATCAGGACTGGACCAGGACTAAACCAGGACTAAACCGGGAGCGCAGCCAGCAAGCAGATTGTCTCCGCTGATGGTTTTATGTAATAAATACACTCAGCCTGGTCTCTCATCTTTCCAGGAAAAGACTGGGAAATGGCACTTGTTTCCAGGCCAATTGACATCTTGGATGAATGTCAAGTATTTTGGCCATAGTAAGATTTGTAAATTCGCCTCCCGTTCATCTATGGTGTACAAGACGTACACAGTTATTGCGTTTACATGCACATCAGTATCCCAGTTGCCGGTTATGGTCAGTTTTTTGAGTATCCCACTCCTGCTTTAGTCCTGGTCCAGTCCTGATTCAGTCCTGATTCAGTCCTGGTCCAGTCCTTGTTTAGACCTGGTGTAGTCCTGGTGATCAGCTCTGCGGTTGCCGTGTGTATATGTTTATAATCTGCTAATGACACATCTAGGCTCAGTCCTGGTTCAGTCCTGGTTCAGTCCTGGTTCCGTCCACTCCTGATATAGTCCTCCTGGTGATTGGCTCTGCGGCTGTGGCGTATATTTATAACCGCTAATGACACAGTGTAGGTTCAGTCCTGGTCCAATCCTGGTGTAGTCCTGGTGTAATTCTGGTGTAGTCCTGGCGATTGCCTCAGCGGCTACATCGTGTATTATATAATCCACTAATGACATGGTGTAGATTTTCTAGTTCTGGTGTTTGTGGCTCCGCGCCCTGGTGTGGCTCTTAACGGAAAAGAATTCCACTAACACTCCAAATTTACGAACGATTTATCCTCAGCATGTTACAAAGCATCCAGCTACTGTGTGTGTTTATGGTCGGAATATTGGGCTTTTGGAACAATGGGCTGATACTGTAGTGATGTGTATGAATTTGCTAAAAATGTGAAAACAAATTAACTAAATCGTGGGAACAAATTAACTAAAACATGGGAACGAATTAAGTAAAACATGAGAATGAAATAGTAATTTAAGGCCTTTAATATATTTTTTTGCATACGTCATCAGGCGGGCTCCCTAGATTTCTGACATGCCTTGTAGAAGTTTTTTTTTTCCCCAAAATGGCCGTTATGGAGACTTTTTGGCACAGCCTAGCGCTCCATGGTTCCACCAGCTGCATGTCGGCCTAAAGCGAACCCATGTCTTTGGTCACCGTCCCAAACAACGACAGACGGCGCGGAGTTTCAAGAGCCAAAATTTGAATAACAAGTGTCGAGGAATGGCCAACTGTTTAGAGGGCTGGCATGGTCGCCCCCAAGAACAATGGAGATCTGTTCTGCACATACGCACATTTAAATAGATTTAACTTTCAATAGAAATTATGCTTATTTTAAAAAATGCTGCTTAATAAACAAATGTATACACACTCTGGTGGATGAAGAATAGGAGGCCAGTGTGTGAGATGACTTTCCTGAATTTTAAACATGTAACACCAAGGCCTATACCAGCCTTCAAAGAGAGGAAGAATAAGTTTATGTATGAAAGGGCTTGTATTGTTACCTCAAAGTAATACATATGGATGAGTAATACTTATGGATGATGAAATAAAGCAAAAAAAAAGAGCAAAAAAGTACTATAAATTAAGTTTATTATATGCTCTGTCCATATACGGCTATATTGGATAATAGTGGGGAATTGTAATGAGAAAGAACACAAATTTTGTCTTAAAAAAATGGTTTTAGATGGTGAGGGAGGGTGTTCACTATTTTACTGCTGCTCAACTCTAACACATGGCTCTGGTCCAGCCCCCTGTGTACGTCACTGGCTTCACGCTGGGTGTGGAGGCGGGGCCACAGTGGAAGCTTATAAATAACTCTCACGCGCAAAGCTTTTCATTTCCAATTCAGAAATGCTCGCCTAAAGACCTGTGCGTTTTGGATTTAGCGAAATAAATACCCTATGGACATTGGGGCGCTGCAGAGGTTCCTTTTTCACAATTCTAGGCTTTTTGATTAGATTTAACCATGTTTAAGAATAACGGGAAGAAGACTGCTATTTCTATTGCCAGCACCGCTTGTCTGTGTCTTGTATTAGTCGTCCTTGTAGTTCAGCATCACCGCTTTGAATTAACCGGTGCAAACGCGCAAGAACAGACTCTCGGGAGCGAAGCGGGGGACGCCGTGGATAATAATAAGAAAGGATTCTCCGCGTACATCACCAAACTCTCCCGGGGCAGGAGGGAAGCGCAGAAACCCTCGCGCGCCTCTGACTCCAAACGTGACCCCGCGCCAGCAGAGGACATCACCGCGGATGATGTCTTCATCGCTGTGAAGACCACCAAGAAGTTTCACCAGTCCAGACTCAACCTGCTGCTGGACACGTGGATCTCCAGAAATATGCAACAGGTATGACACTTTTTAATGATGAGGCTATTATCAATATTGGACAGCACTGGATACATTTGTACTCAGTAATGGATTGAATGGGCTTGTTAGGTGATGGTGTAGTGCAGGATTGTTCCCCGTGTCCCCCGTGACACCGGGAGCCTCAGAGCTCTGTCACCTCCGCTCAGTCACTCCTCATTCACCCCATGAGTGATGTCCCTGAGAACCTCAGCCCATTCACTGCTTCTTGTTCTCTCTTATATCACCCCCTTCTTTTGGGTACCCCCCTTTGTGAGAGTCCAGGGTGCAGTTGATACTCCAGCTTTTTGGGTCATCCCCACTTTTCCATAATTTCACCAACAAAACATTTTTCTCAAGAAGAAGCTTTACTGTATTTCCCCTCAACCCTCTCCTTGGACTTAGGAGTTTTTTGTCTAGGTCGGTCTGTGATATATCTGAAAACGGGTCTTCGTGAGGGGTATAGATTGGAACAACGGTGGCACATCTATACAAACTGAGAAGTTTCATGCTGGGCGTGAGAACCAAAGTTCTTTGAGAGATACACAAAAGATGATAAAAAGGCCAGTGAAATGATCTGGACATGGTTTTCTGAGTTAATTCATGTCAAACTCCAGCAAGATTCACTTAGCGGTCAGTATCAATTACCTAAAGTCTTCAACATCTGCTAATATGAGAGGAAAGCTTGCACTAATTGTTTGTAATGATGATAGTGAACTCATGTGATGAAGTTAACAGCAGGCGTCATGGGCAGGGCAGCTGGCGGGTGGCGCTATAGAGACAGGGGACATAAAGGCACCACAATACTGGAGGGAGTAGAGAGGAGAGGGTGCCAGGTGGTCACAACAAAAGAACAGCTCTAATACCAAACATATGATCAGCCCAGTTCCCACCGCAGACATATGTGCACCTCTCTTATCCAGGTTACATTCTCACGCTCAGATGATGGAAAATAATACTTGATTTTGAATTATTTGGAAAAAAAAAATTATATAAAGAGTTCATTGATTTAATGAGTTCAGTTGCAAGTGCCAATCGGACCAAATCCAATAACAAAGTCCAGTTGCAATACTGTACTGTGTATGTACAGGTTTTTTGAGGAAATTTTTGTATTTAAAAATGAAATCAGAATATAAAACAATCAGTGTGTTCATTGGTAACACATTTATTCAGAAATAAAGTGTAAAATATTATACACGATCCAATCAAAAAATTAAAGGGAGTTTCATCTGTACTATTAGCCTACATATTACTATTGCCTCTGTTTCTTACTATAAACTATTCTGTACACATGCAGCACATTTAAATCTATTTTCTTTCTTAATTCTGACAATTTATAGTTGCTTTCAGGTTCCCTTTACATCACAATACTGCCTTAGGCCTGGTTAATCTGTAGGATCTTTGCATTTGAATTAGACCCTTATCTCCATTCAGATACTGTGTGCTGCCCTCTGGCTAAAACAAAAGTGTGGCTCAACATCTTTCTACTCCAAGTGAACTCTCATCACCCTTTTTTTTTTTCTTTTACAATCTGGCGCCACGCTCGGTAAAACTGGGCACGTATCTGCGCCCACCAAAGCCGAAATTCGCTCTGCTTTAAAGTTCAGACAGCTGGCATCTGAATCTCTCGTAGTGTGCCATGCATTCCTTTCTCAAGAGCTCGATAATTACCCAGGCGCTATGCAACAATGAGCGCTTTTAGGATGTTGAAAAAACACAAGCGGGTGCAGTGGACTGATTAGAAAAGCTTTACAATAGAGTTGGGTAAGAAGATAAACTCTGAAATTATTTGTAGTAAAACTCGTATTGTTTTGGCTATATAAGTGCTGACATAGGTGTAGTACAAAGCGTAATAGGAAGCAGCCAGGGTGGAGGTAGACTGAAGCGAGTGCCCTTCCTTCCTATAAGAGTGGAGACAGCCAGCCAGGCACCATGTCCAGTGTACTGCCAAAACTAAGTCCAAACGCCAATACTCTCCCTTGTCTCTTATCACCACTCTGCACACTTATTTTCTAGTGTGAATTCCAGATAAGACAAATAAACTTCGCCAGGATGCCCTCCCGCTCTCTCAGGCTTTAACCCCAGCAGCTGTATGCAAATGAGCGCAAACAGATTGGGCTGCAGGCTCTCCCCAGCATGAAAATTCACAGCGTTGTTTTCTATTGAAGAGGCCCAGAGAGGGAGAGGAAGGGCAGGCGGGCAGGGGGGGTGGGTGACTGACCACACACTGCTCCTGATTTACTAATAAGCACCAAAGATCCCCCCCTTGTCCCACCGCCACAGCTCCGCACAGGCAGCTGCTCTCTGATTAGCTCGAATATTCAACAGGCTTAGAGCAAATAGGGCTCGCCTTGGACGCTTTAAGCAGGCAAACCACCAGCACTCTCCTCTAGATAAACAAAAGATTAGAAACACATGATCACCACAAAAATAAAATATTACAAGTTTTTGAGATTTTTAAGTGATTATTTATGATTAATTTGGATTCCAAAATATAAAAAGCAGGTGAGTTTGTAGTTTAAAACCACATTGCGAAACATTTTCATAGGTAACATATTAAAAAAGGCGGCATAACACACAAGCTAAAATGAACAAGTTGCTATAAATACATTGAATTGTATTTTAATTTAGTATGACTATTATTGTAAAAAAAAATTAATCTAGTTTACTTTTTATTTGCTAAACAACAGTAATATTGCGTAGTCTGGTACGGCCAAACTTGACAGGAAACTCTTGTCTGCACGCATAATACAAATACAATGGAGCAAATACTGTAGCTTTTTGGATCACTGACTACTATTATAAGCCCTTTTGTTATTGGGGGTCTAGGCAGCACGAGCTTGCATGTAGAGACACGTGGCTGTGATGGTTAGCGTGCTGTTTGGCAGGTGCTGCTTTTACCTGAGGTTCAGAGTAAACACTGGCGGTTACAAAGTCAAAGCACCATTTGCACCTGTCCATTGTAACTGGTCTAATCTGCGCTATCTCCATACACTCCTATTATATGGCCTTGTTGTAAAAGACCTTTATGACTAACTGCAACATTTTACAAGTGGGCGCCTGCAGTTTCATTGTTGATTTTAAGACCGATTTTGTAGTTTTATCTTTTAACTACTGTGTTTATCGGTGAACACGCTTAATTGGCTTTGGCTGTGTTGGACTTTGCATCAGTTAAGACATCCAGGAAAGATGGTGGGGGCGTAACTCGGGGCATTGGGGTAAAAGGAAGGGGTAGGGGTGAGGACTGTCTGCCTACCGCTTTGTCCCGTGTCTGGGATGCTTCGGAGCGGCTGTATAGTTGCCATGGCAAGGGAAATGCAAAAGGACAAAGGGTCTTTATTAGCGCATGGGGCTGTTTAACTCAATGGTACAATAGTCTTGATGATTGATGCCATAATCTCACCAGGCTGAAAATGACAGATTTGCCCCAGGACACAGTGAGAGGCCATGTCATGTTACTGCCCCATCACATGATCTGGTCCAGTTACGTGTTTCATAATCATATCCACTTATATGATGTATGATTTGCTTGTTTGCAGACATACATTTTCACGGATGGAGAAGATGAAGAACTGAAGAAGAAAATTGGTAAGTTTTACAATGGAAATTTTATACATTTGGCTTGGGGTTCGTCACCTGCTTGTTTCTATAAATATCTCTATATATCTTTGTCTGGAATCTTCCACAGTATGACTTTAAACAGCTCTCCCTTACATTTATTCAATTACAATGGTTTTATAGCTTTATAGCGTTGTGAATGTGAGCGGAGTTGCCTCTCTGCAGATCTGACCTGTAATTTAATCTGCTTTAGTCTCCATGAAAATAGAAAGATAAAATTGTTTAATGCCAATACAAAAACACAAAGCAATAACATCTCCATGTGAAAAGCATTTGAAGAACCCTACACCAGAAAAGTTACAAAATGCACCTTTAAAACAGAGCTGCATTTTCTCTACTTTGAGGGTTTTGTATTAGTGAAATGTGAGATTTTTATGCATTCATGTTCTCATATAAAAGTGCATTTGATAATAAAATTGTTCTTGTTTTTACAGGGAGCCATGCGGTCAACACCAACTGCTCTGCCGCTCACAGTCGACAAGCTCTGTCCTGCAAAATGGCTGTGGAGTATGACAAGTTTATAGAGTCTGGCAAAAAGTGAGTATAATAATATAATTTATTACAAAAGTTGATATCACTTTATAGCAATGACACTGTAACTAACCTTGAAGGTGCAGGTGGTTTTATTACACAAAAATACCTAGAAGAAACAAGCATTTTAACAGTGAGCGGGGTTGTCTCTCCAGATTTCAAACTTGTAACTTGATCTGGTATGGTCTCCATGAAGATAAAAAGCTTTAATACCATACTGTGAAACATTCCAGACAAATCAATAACATCTCTCCATGGAGAAAAGCATTTGACGGACCCTCCACCAGAAAAGTTATGGTCATGGGTATTAGTTAGTAAGCCTGACTGCTTTATTTAGACAAATTTAGGTGTAGTTATTGTAAAGTACATAAAGTATAAGTGTACAGAAAGTCTTGAGTGTCTAACAGAGCTGTGTGTTACAGGTGGTTTTGTCACGTGGATGACGATAACTACGTGAATGTGAGGACTCTGGTCAAACATCTGTCCCAGTACACTCACACCCAGGACATGTACATCGGCAAACCCAGTCTGGACCGGCCCATCGAGGCCACGGAGAGACTGGGAGACAACAAAATGGTATGTAGCTATAATTTAGTGCAAATGTATTATGACTATACAGATTGTAGGGATATTAAAAGTAACAAAAATCAGATACTCTTCAGCACAAAATAGTATTGAAACCAGATACCCATTTGAGCTAGTAATCAATACAAAAAAATCATATAAACAAGAACTACCAGAACTACTATAAGACCACATGATAACATAAAGAAGGCACTATTATTTATGGTTGAAAATCACATTCTGTTGTCTATTACTGGTGGTATCTAAATTGGTAGCGTTGGTGTTGATGTTAATATTGTAACACTAGTATATTGTCATTTGCATGCTAAATATTGTGTTTTTATCTGGATAGAAACCAGTGAATTTCTGGTTCGCCACTGGAGGAGCAGGCTTTTGTGTGAGCCGTGGACTGGCGCTGAAAATGAGCCCATGGGCCAGGTAAGTCGCACAAAGTTATGCCAAAACAAAAAAAAAAAAGGTGATTTAAACCTTGGATTAAGATTTCTCATCTCATTTCTGTATGTATTTTTTGTTTCAGTGGAGGCCATTTTATGAACACAGCCGAGAAAATCCGTCTCCCTGACGACTGTACCATCGGTTACATCATCGAGTCTGTGCTGGGCGTCCCTCTGACTCGCAGTAACCTGTTTCACTCTCACCTGGAGAATCTGCAACAAGTGTCCAGACCAGACATCTACAAACAGGTACTTACTCATTCTACCATGACTCCAGCTGTTTGGTTATTATGAAGGTGACTTTGTATTTTAATATTTTTGTGTTTTTCCTCAGATCACTCTCAGTTATGGGATGTTTGAAAATAAGAGCAACATCATCAATTTGAAAGGGGTTTTCTCGGTGGAGGAGGACCCATCGAGGTAAGGGTCTATTATTTAGTTTCGCTTCGACTGCTAGGACTGCACAATATGGATTTATTGCAAACAAATCGGAATAGCAAATTTTCAAATCGGAAAAACTGCAATTATTTAGAAAACAGAACGCAAAGAACAAAATATCCTGTTGTTTACACATCTACAAACATGTTCATAAATGTCGTTAATCAGTGTTTATTACAGTATTCTCTCAAATGTTAATAATCCTGGACTTGTTTGTAATGTAGACTTTAAATAGAATCTACAACTTTAAACATATATTTTAATTTTAAATCAAATCTGAAAACATATAATTAGATGTTTCCCAAATCGTGCAGCCAGAATTGTTGCTGTATTTCCTGTAAAACGTGATCATAACATCATTCTTCTTCTTCTTCTTCTAGGTTCAAGACGGTGCACTGTCTGCTGTACCCGGATACCCCGTGGTGCCCCCCTCAGGTTGCTTTTTAGGGCGACCGCTCCTTTCTCATCCTCGTCCCCGTCCTGCCTCGGTATCTGAAAGGCTCGTGGGGACCAGTGTTTCGTGTTAGACCGTGAAGCTGCTGTATTTTGTTACAGTGGTGATTGGTCTTGTTATTTTACTGGGCTGCTGTGCGGTCCGCTCCGGGACTCTAACTTCCTGTGTGACCCCATGACCTCGCCCATAATGTCTGGGACGAGCTAAATGGCGGTCAGCAGGAAGAAGCTTTCATTGTTAAGCTTTGCAGGCAATCAGTTGAGCTTTGTCGTGTAAATGTTGCTTGTAAATGTATCTGCAATTCTCATAGAATGTATCTCACATATTCGAGCTTTTGCCAGCTTTCGCATTTTGTTTTGTTTTAACCGTCTGTACAGGCCTGTGTGGGCTTCTGCGTCTTAGCTTGTTTATTTAGCTGCTCTCAACAGATGACTCCGGAAAAGCTTCTGTGTATGAAGATGTTTTTATTTTAAGTTAACAGTGTTATTCCTCCATAATTGAGCTGGCTATTGGCAAATTTCCAAATGCAACCTTTATTGACCAAATCTGAGGCGTCAGGACAAAGCACTTTGAATATTAGGTGACTTCATCTAATCCATGTCCATTCAATGACAAGCCTCAGATAAATACTATACGACTAAATTAACCCCTCGAAATCTCTCAAATATCTGTTAAATATATAATGTATAATTGTATAATTTAAAAAGTCCTTGCATTGTTACAATCAGGGAAATTTATTATGGCAAAAGAGATTTTGAATTGGGGTTACAATCAGCTTTTGACTTGCTTTGAAAAGTTTTATTTGAAAGTTGCACAGCTGAGTTTAAAATGACCTGTTTGCTCCTGCACAGGCTCTCACCACAGAAGAGACTAAAATAGAAGACAAAACCAGTTTGGTTTGTAATTAGATGATATTTGTAAGCAGATCTGCAGTGGCTCTTAGTTTGCACACAGATAAAGGTTAATGAGAGCAGATCACAGGCTGAGCCTGTCAGGAGCAACATGGCGGCGTTCACATGGAGGAAGGCCCTCTGTGTCTCTCTCACCCATATTGGGTTACTCTGTACATCTGGGTTACAGTATTGTGTACTGCGCTTGTTTCAGTGCGTAGTGACTGTGTAGAATGTACCTCCCCTGCCTTTGTCATGGTTTACATTTGCTTTTAATGACGTTGTACTGCTTTGAACTGTTCTAATTGATGTGTCTATTCTCCAGTATCTGGAGGGTTCAAACAGTTCATCCCAATACTGCCTCTCAGGGACAAGAGCAGACTGTGGTATTGATTACCAAGGCCCCACGCTGGGACCTGAAACTGTTAATAAAAAGGCATAACCACTAAACTTTGTTCTTTGGCCATGTTTTCTGTTTAATATTACAGCTGAAAATATTTTAGAGAGTGCTTCTGAGTTTGGATCAAAGCCCTATAAAACAGTTTCACATGGTATTCTTTGGCATATCTGTTAGCTGATGATCATGATTGATATAAATATTTTGCACACAAAAGACTCCATTTAAAATCCCTCCTCCTGACTGTGACTAATAGGTTTTAAACATATTAAGACAGTCAGTCTTTTCAACTCAATATAATTGCTCCAACTGATTAATTACATTTTAGTTAGATTACACTATAAACCATCATTCAAAACAAAAAATAACAATTTAGTGTAAAACAACACAGATGAAACTCACAAATTATGAAAAAGCACTATTTTGTAATTTTCAGATGAAAGCTCAAAAGATTGTTGGAGGACTAAACTGAACTCACAAGTTTAAAATATACACTTGAACCTGCCATGCTGAAGTTAATGACACTGGCACACAGCATCTGTCTGTGTTTATACAACAGCAAGGCTTGAAGTATGGGAACACACAAAATGGCACTCACAAACATGTAGGAAAAGATAAACAGAGGAAAACCACCTAAACACTGCAATCATCCTAACAACAACTCAGAGGAACCTAAAACCAGATGCAACCCTTTGTATAGAGATTATTACACGAGTAAAAGTTAATTAGTCAGTATTGTTCAAATACATCACTCAGAAAGTAGAGGTGTAAACAATTATTTAAAAATCAATATATTGTGAAAGTAAATTTGGTGATTGTATTGATACTGTGGGCTGTGGTATCAATATATCACTATGAGTATTTTACAAACTTATTTTGAGACAGCTCTACAATTTTATTGCATGATTAGAGAAAGCAAACATGTTTATTAATTGATGCATGATATTTTCAATAAGTTAAAGGTGCATTAACTTTTCTGGTGGAGGGTCCGACAAATGCTTTTCTCCATGGAGTTGCTATTGCTTTGTCTGGAATGCTTCACAGTATGGTATTAAACCTTTCTATCTTCTTGGAGACCAAACCAGACCAAGTTCCAGGTCAGATCTGTGAAGTGCTAACTACACTCACAGTCAGAATGTCTGTTTTTCTAGGCATTTCAATCCTATAAAACCAGCTGTAATTGAATAAATGTAAGGTAGAACTTCAAGGTCATACTGTAGAACATTCCAGGCAGAGCAATGACATATCCATAGAATCAAACAGGTGATGGACCGCCAACCAAAAAGTTACACAGTGCATCTCTAAACTAAATCATGGTAAAAAAAAAAAGAAGTCCAATTGTTTTTCAAGTTGTTTATGCAATACTTTTGATATATTCTGTAAAAATGATTAAACTGATGTTTTTCATATTAACTTTGTGTAGGTTTAACAAAGAAATACTGTTAGTAAAATGTATTTGTTCATAGTGAAAAATAGTGATATTTAGCAGGATTATATATTATTATCACATATGTTTCAAAATTGCATTATAGTATGGTGAGCCTTGTATTGTGTGTCATATACAATAATGAGGTACTCTGGGATTCCCAACCCTATCAGGAAGTAGTTTTTGTAACCTGTATTTAAGATAAGTACGTAGTGGTAGTTTTGAGAGCCAGGTGTTGAAGATATTAGAGGAGGTAAGACTGACAATGTAGAGATTTGTAGAGAGATGTTAAGCCCCCTTCCTTTGAATAGAAAGATCAAACCTCTCTTGTTTGCACATTCACAGCCTGCCACTTTAATAATACAGGAGTGTTACACATAAGCCACAAGTCCTCTGTTCCCATGGGGCCGTGCCAGCAGTGGGAGAGTACTTTGATTCAGGAAGAACAGAATGCACAAAAAGCAACAAGGGCAACAAAAAAAGCTAACAAACCCCGAGACAAGTTTAAAGGTCCCATATTACACAAAATTGATTCTTGTGTGCTGTAAACCTTATCAAAAACATACCTGGAGTTGTGTTTTGTTTCATTCACACAATTTTGAACAACCTTTTATTATTAAGTATATCTACAACTCTGAAGTTTTCAAGTTAACCACTACCTTTTACCTTTTGTTCAGTAGAGATCGGCAATTCCAGGGCTGAAATCATCAAAATGATCCTAGTGAAGGTGTATGAAGTTTAAAAACACAGTGGAGCACTTCCTATATTAACATGACATCAGAAGGTGGAAGAGAGTGTTTTCAGTCTGAGAAAAGAACTCAGCCTAAATATGCAGGGTTTGTGTGTTAAACATGTGTGAATGAAACAAAACACAACTCCTGCTATGTTTTTGATGAGGACAACACATTATAATCATTAAGACATTGCGTGAACTGATGCTGACTAAAAACAGAAGGGCCCTATCTCGAAATGGTAAATATTTATATGCGACTAGCCAAGACTGAATATTCAAATTTGAGAGTTTGGGCTCAGTCTGTTGAGTATACATCTTGCGAAGGCTCGTGTCAAACCAAATTTCCTGCAATAAACTAGATTACTGTGGTTCTCAAACTGCGGTACACGTACACAGGCTCATTCTGATGGTAAGCAGACTCCTCTTCGGTGTTAACTTAATTTACAGTCAATTTCATCCACATTTTTCTTCTTCTTTGGGTTAATCCATGTTTAGAACTTCTGTAGCAAAGGGTCAGTTTTATTTAGACATGGTTTGGTCCTAGTTTAGATTTGGTACAACCCTGTTAAATGCCTGGTTTATATCTGGTGGTACTGGGAAGGCTAAATATTTTCAAATACATGGTACTTGGTGTACAAAGTTTGGAAACCGCTGCAATAGAAGGAACAATTAGAGAAAAAAACAAAACAAAATAGAACTTATAACACGGATAGCTTCTTGGTTTTGTAATGGTAACTACAGCCCTCACACCAAGAGTGAGTGTTCATATTGCATTACATCTGAAACAACTGATACTTTGCAGCTGATGTCGTCAGTATTTCTTAGGGGATGTGAATCTATCTGAAGCACTACGCTGTCTGAAGCCCTGTTTCTCAAGTTAGACGTTAATGTGAACTTTATTTTAACACAATCTGACCAGAAAAAGCTGACACAGTTGGAACTGATGAGATCATTTGCACGCTTAACCAAACTGCTCACACATAAAATTACAGTCACAATCTAGTAAGCATTATCTAACAGTTTTTTCAGTTAGTCACTCTAATTTTGTTAAAACTCAAAGTCCTGAACAGGACCATGAAAGCTCATATTGATCATAGGCTCCTAAACATTGGTTATTTCAATCCGTTTAGTATTTTTTCTTGTGTTTTCAGACCAAATCTTTTCCGTCTGTATTTGCTAATGGATGCATTGTGTCACCATTGTAACTACTGAACATTCTGCCAATAGAGATACATGTAGAACACCCCCATCATGATGTCACAACAAAGTATCAATTGTGCCTATTGTGAGTGAGATTAAGACAACAAGTGTATTCCATTAAACTGCATGGTCAATAACAGGATTGGACTTTTTAGTACCACAGCTTTGAAAACAACACTGCAGACATATTAAGACAATAAAGTGGCTTTAGATGAGGTAATGACTAGCAAAGCTACATTATGTCATTTGTACTGTTTCATTTTTACAGTGCCATGTGTTTCCTCTTGGGCAAATTTACTGTAGCCTTGGAACATACTGGAAAGTGGAGAGACGAGTAAAGCTTTTGTGGTTATGCCAAATGCACTGGGCCTTATTTATTACTGTAAATGGGGATTAATTCAAATGTGGCCTGCTCTTTTGGCACCATCTTTTTATGTTCCTTTAGGATGCGATTGCTGAAGTAAATGGCACGTTATACTGAATGATTTTAAAGATTTGTTTCGACTTGAACAAAATGGCACACAGAGGTAACGCTATTCTTAACTTTCAGCAGTCACTTCTTGTTTAGGCTTTCATTAATCATGCAAAACATAAAAATACGTCACAGATGTTCTTTCTTTGAACTAGTCCAGTCTCTATATCAACTTTAAGGATTAAACCACCACTTGACATCTTAGTATTTTCCATATAGGTGCCAGAATGCAACTGATTTGTATGACATTTTATTGAATGTTATCCAATCACTCCCCACACTCTGAGGTCAACAGCTATTACAGTCAGACCTGCCAATATCTAATGATTTGTACTGAAAATTACATTGTATTGTGTGTTTTTATTGTCATTATGATATCAAAAGCCTATTAAGCCTTTTCCTTCAAAATCAAGTTTGAAATTTTAGTATAGTGACAACTCCACTTACACCATAAGTAAGTTGAGTAAAGTGTCTTATCCAAAAACACAACCAAACGGAACTGGAACTGAACCAACAACTTCAAGGTTATAATAAAAAAATTGTATCTAAAGTATGTGCTCATGTGAGGAGGTACTGATGCTGGAAAATGTTTTTGTTTTCTTGTTCTGTATGAGAACTAATTTAAGACCACACTGTATGATGAAAGTACTATTCTTACCTTATTATGTCTACTCTGAGAAGTGTTTTTTATAATCATGATATTAAAATCAATATTGAGTGTCAAAGCTTTTCCTTAGAATGGAAATTATGTTTGACATTTTTTGTATAAGTCAACACTACTCACTACATCTACTTACTTACTACTCAAGTATCATGCCCAAACACATAACCAAATGGAGCTGGAATTAACCCACCAACTTCCAAGTTATAAGACCACCACTCCACCACCTGAGCCCATGCCGCCCTCAGTTATCTGTGTTATGCTGTTTAAACAAGTGGCTCTAATATCCTGCATGCTTCGTGGATTTTCTGTGACGATTTGCGCCCAGACTGTCGTGTGGCAAAAGGAAGCTTCTAATTTTAGGACGAGGCAGCTGCACGCCAACAGACCTAACAAAGCATGTCTCAAGGCTACAACTGATCATCTCCGGTGATAATAGAGCCTCAATCACCTCCAGTTTACACACAACAGTAAAACCAGTTTGACAAGAGTGTGCTGCCTTACTGCCTGTTGGTCACTCTTGGCACCTTTGGCATAAGACCACACAGAGT